CAAGTCAAAAAATGTAAACACAGTGGTGAAGTCCTGAATAAATGGTACTGAGTTCCTGCTAGATTTCTGAATCTTGAAATCGATTTCCGGTTACTATTTTGATCAATCGGTCAACGTAAGTGTTTGGATTTCAAAGAACCTACCATTAGCAAAACCTTACTCCTACAAAACCTATCTTATTTCCAAAAAATTATTTTAATTTTAATTGGAGCAGAATCATTTTTCGAATAGAGCAGATAGAAATCTTCAGTCCCGAAACAAGTTGTGAATTCAAATCCCTCGCAACAGCAAGGACTACATCAACACTTGTGGCCAAATGCAAAGAGGCACCAAATAGACTCGCAGATGATAACAGGGTAGAAATAGCTTGGGTACCCACGACGACATTCCAAGAAATAAGAAAGGGAAACAGAAAGGGTCAGAAAAAAGGTCTAAAACAACAGACACTATAGTCCCTCTAAACTCAGTCCAGACAAAAATTCACGACCATTTCAAATTACGAGCTAGCAACGAATAGTCGATGAAGACAAAGCACGGAAGATCTAAACTATGTTGATCAAATTATAACAGGAGACGGACTGCCGAGCTAATCTCCTAGAGTAAAAAAGACATCAGAAGGATAGCGGCAGTCATCACTAGCTACTGGCCAATAGGCAAACACAAATTCAAGATGGGCCTACGTTACAATCCATACTGTAGAAGTTAGGAGGAATTGGGTGAGCAGGAGACACCGGATAATTTACTGTATCTTTGCCCGGCATTCTACCAAGTCAGGTCGGGACACTTTGGAGCTTACCAGCTCGGGTCACTAGGGGAAGTGAAGAGATAGTAAGTGACTGCAATCCTGGCTTACCTGGATGACACGGGATGGTACTGAAGAGGAGTTGTTGACTATGACCTTCGAGTGTGGAGCAAAATGGAGGTCAGCTCTAATTGGAGATTACCTTAATCTAACCTAAAGTTTTAATGAAGAACATTTACTACCGATTGACAACACACTACTGAAATTTTGGTCACTGAAATTAAATGGCAACTCCAAAGAAAATTATTCAGCCGGTTAAGTCGGATCCGAACGACTTGGGCAACCCCTTCAAATTTGTTGTCGCTTGAGCGAAGTTTGTCTCGAGATCCTAACGTGAAGATCATGTACTTGAAATTCATGGAAATATATCTCTTTTAAAGTCATATGGGGCCGACAATTCAAGAAGTGTTTAGTATATATGTTTCGTGTAGCGAGTACACTCTTTACCAATGCTTAGGCACTCAGAGCCCAATATATGAAAAGTGCAAGTGTCAGCAAGTGTCCCATAGCCTAAGCGCACATCTATACAATGCATGCATATACAACTCTCTCGCTCTCTTGCTTTATGTAGGAGCATAGATATTCCTATGCATAAGGCCGCTGCCATAATTAGCAGGCAGCGCAGCCTCTGCCTCTCCTCTGGAATTTAATTAATGGGATTTCTTGGACAATAATGAAAAAGGCAATCATAACAGTTTGAATCCATTAATTCATGAAGACAGGTGGACTTGCTGCAACTCTTCGTTGCTGCGAGTTGGGGGCGACTTCTGCAGTCAGACAGTTCGATCGTGTGTACGCTGTTTTAAATGCAATTCAAGAAAGGTCTCCGTACAATTCTGTTGTTAGCCTCGTGTTTGCATTGCGTCGAAGGAAAGGGAGGACCGCATGGTTAGGATTGTGGAGCTTAGACGAAGCGATAGTCTTTCGGAGGGCGATCTACAAGCTGGCACCGATGCCAGTTGTTTGAAGCCGTGAACTGTTGGCTGAACGTAGTTTTTTTATTGTTTTTGTTGATATTTACTATTTTTGTATATATTATTTTTATTATTATTATTTTTATATATTAATATTTATATTGAAAAATTAAGATTTGGAAATCCAGTGTATATTAGTTTAGAGTAAAGGTGGAAGCATAACAAAGCTCTCTAGCTCTAAGAAAATTCTTTGCTTCTTGCCTCCGGTTTCCCGGTTTAATTAAATTAAATTTAATTTAAAAATCCAGTTTTGATACAATTAAATTATATGAAAATACGTTGAAAACGGAAAAGGTTATAATTTTTTTTGTTAAAATGTTCTGATCATTCGCAGCTATTTAAGGGGGTAGACCACCCTGAACGCATGAAAATTGGAGGGTTTTTCAAAAATTCATTTTGACTAAGTTATTAGGAATACAACTTTTTATTTATTAGTTCATCAAAGTACATATGTTAAACTAAAAAATACTTATTGAAAGAAAAAAAATATCTACGAACCTCGGAGATATAGCCAGTCAATAAACGAATTTTTTTTAGGGAATGGTCGGATGGTGTACATGCTGCACACCACATTTGTTATCCGAAATTCAAAAACAAAAATTTTTTATAAGCTATATAAGTATGGCTATAGCATGACGTAGCCGTTTTTGTAAATAATTTTTTTTGAGCAAATGGGAGCACTTTGAAAAAAAAATTTTTTTTTTTAACAAAATTTTTGATTTAAGAATTTATAACTTTAAAACAAAAAAACATATCGAAAAAATCCTACGTCATGCCATAGAGGGTATTATAGAGAAGCTGTGTAAAAAATTTGAAGAGAATCGGTCCGGCGGTTTTTGAGAAATCATGTACACCGTTTTAAAAAACGTTGTTTTGAGAAAAACGCCTCTACGGTATACCGGCAGCGCTCACTTCTAATAGCTGTAGAATCCACAAGTAACGAGATATTTTTAAGCCCAATGTCTTGAAATGACCGTAAGAATATCGGCATCAAGATTGATTAAAAAAAAATTAGATTTTTAAAAAATGTCAGGGTGGTCTACCCACTTAATACATTACATACACCCTTTAGTGCATGCGTCTAAAACAATCAAATTTAATTGGAAAAAAAATTGAAAGTCTGTTTTTGTTTAGAAATCCGGCTTTAAGACAGTTTTATTATTTTTACTGCTTTTATCTGATAGCATATGTATATAAACATATGAATATATGTATGAAAATGCATTTGTTTTTTGATTAGAAAACCACACCTAACAAAAAAGGATGATGACTTCAGCACACTGAATATTTGCATATCCTTGCAGAATGCAATTAGATCATTAATATTGAATACAATATAAATTACAAATATGTATTTATCTTTAAAAAAGAAGTAATGCCTAATTTCATTATATTCAACTATACATTCTATACCAATAATCTTACAGTTATACATTCTCATCTCTCTAGGCTCTAGAGTCTAGAATATTGGAATTGAATAACCCAATTTTTCGGTAAATTCAGGTGGTATTTTACTCCACTCATCGAAAACCACATTCTTCAACGTATCCTTCGATGTTTTTGTTCGAAGACGAATCCTGCGCTCCAGAAAAACCCACAGATCCTCTATGGGGCTTAAGTCCTGCGACTGAGGCGATGAATGCAGTTGATTTTTGGTATAAAAAAGTAACCATAGCTTCAAAGTCAGCGAAGTATGCTTGGGGTCATTACCAACTTGTCCTTAAGGACTTTCATATAAGCCTTGTGGTCCATTGTCGAGTCAATAAAGACCAAGTGGCCAACTCTACTTGCTGCCATATACCCCCACACCACCACACTGCCACCACCGTGCTTAACTGTTGGAGCGAGCTTCTGCACATCAAGGACTGTGCCAGGTTTGCGCCACACAAGTTTTCGCCCTTTTATGCCAGATAGGCAAAATTGGCTCTCATCACTAAAAATAATCATTTTCCCAAAGGCTAAAGGCTCTTGGATGAATTTTTTAGCAAAATCCACGCACTCCTATTTATTGACGGGCAATATGAGAGGCTTCTTCGGCGCAGCACAGGCATGAAATTCCTCCTTTTCAAAATTTTGCGGACTGTGTCATCATTTAAATCCTTCTTCTACTTCTCCTTTATATCCTGGCCAATTTTTGCGGCCGTTAACATAGGATTACGCCCACAGCCCATGATTTTTGGTTGCAACAGGATAATGACCCCAAGCATACTTCGCGTAGTTTGCCCGAAAACATGGGTATTTTTTGTTTTTTAATTTTAATTAAAAAAGTTGTGGACGGAAATAAATAAAGACTGGCTATAATTTTTAATAATAGATGTGTCGTTAATTAAAAAAATTGAAGTCAATATCTTCAATAGAACTATTTTTATTTACATCAAAGTTGCGCGTTAAGTTTGTACGCACACTTTTTCTTGTGAGTGTGTAGCATTTACTACAAGCCAATATATCAAGTAGTCGTTTCCCAACATTTTAATTGGAAACAATAAAATAAATAAAGTGTAGGTGGTTTGTATTTAAAATGGTAAGTTAAAATATTTGAGGTTATAGTCCCAACGGACGACGTGCGAAAGAAAATCATCAACAAGCGTATTCATTCACAGAACTTAAGCGAAGAAAGACAAAATATAATAAGAGAAAATGCCCTATTGAGACAACGCGTAAGGACACGAAAATCATTGGCATCATACAATTGATTGGGATTCCAATATGATCCCACTGAGAACTACAGTGATGAAATTTAGATATTGGACCAATGACGACTTTATGCCGGTATTGCAATGCGTTAAAGTTCAAAAGAGAAACGGCTAAAACGAAGCCATCTGGTGACGAAACGGAGTTCGACAGGTTTCCTAGTATTATATAAAAGTATAATATCCTGCAAGGGTACAAAAATGCAGGTAAGGCTTAAGAATCTGCGAAAGCTAGTAAAGGTATACCGAGCAGCAGTAGCTTAAAACCAGAACGGAATCGGTACGCCGAAGTTTATACACCCTTACAGATAGAACTTCGATGACTAGGAATTTATACAATATAAATGATAAATATTTATATAAATATTAAATATTTATATTTATTTCATTTACCCATACATATTATCTTAAAAGTTTTGCATGCACCATTTTGCAGTTGCTTCTAAATCGTTCGTATTGGACCTATATGATATAGTCGTCCGATTTTCATTATAAATTATAAATTACGGTGGGCAAACATAAATTAATAATTACTTGAACCATAACAGCGATTCGAAGGTGGTCTTTTGAAATAGACGATTTACATCCTTTACAAGAAGCGCGTCCAGTTCTGGCATACTCCGCCATATACGGTAATTCCATATCCATGACTACACTGGCAAATTAGTAAATGAAACTACATGTAAATATGTATTAGATATATTTAAAATACCATCGATTTCTTACATTTCGATTGATCATCAATTCTTATTTTAAGGAATCGATGTATCGTAAACCCTTTACAATATACATATGTTTCACCACTACTAATAGCCTCTTCCCACAGAGATCCATTCTCCACTCATTTGACAATGGTTATTTCACAATGGCACTGCCCCACTAATTAGAGATATCATTATACATTAAACAGTTCCGTACGGTTGTTCACAAGTGCGAGCAAGATGATTCTGAGGCGCTTTTAATGTATGGGCTAATGTACTGACAAGACATTCAACTTTGATGATTGTGCTGATTAAGAACATAAATACATACCTTATTTGGTCAAATACGGCTTAGTTACTGAAAATATTGACGTATGGCGATTCCTAGAAGATTTTCAGCCGAAAAAGGGTTCGATTGATTTTAAAAGTTTTAGAGATAAGAGATAAAATTAATGAAAATTCCGCAAAAGCTATTTCTTTACTCTTTAGAAGAATTTCGGTATGGTGTTGACCATTTACAGAATTCTGTAAATACTTAATGAAGATAAAAAAATGCAATATGCGAACTTTAAAAATTATCTTTGAGCTTATGACCTTTTAAATTGCAAAGCGTTGGACCTACAATTTTTTGTAAATATAATACAAATAAAATATTAAATTGTTAGAAGCTTTTACTGTGCCAAGTAAAAAAAAGAAAGTCACAAGGGCTTGTCAATAATTCAGTCGATGTTCTTTGCGACCTCGAAGTCTCTGAATAAAGGGAAATAAGCACATTTTATAGGTATAGTTATTTTCAGTTTTTGAAATTTCTGTAATTTACTTATTTCTTCGTTTAGGGAATCCTTTAAATAACTAAATTTAAGAGAACACGAAAACTGGCATGACCACATCACAAAAATGCAAACCAAAAACCGTAATATTTATAAATCTTTTGTAATGGCCTCTGTCCTCAGAGATCCATTTGGCGTTCACCATCTTTTGAACGAATGGTCCGGTTTTTTTATTAGCCAAATATGATGGACTTATTTTGGCTTTATCGTTGGTTATTGTTAAAACTGTAAACTTTATAAGTAATGGTGACTGTAATTAAAGTAGGAATTATTATGTTATTTTTTACAAAATAAAATATATATAATTTATGTTGTTTTAATTATTAATGATTAAATTGCAATTCTGAAGGGTATACAAACACAATAAATTATTGTAAGTAAATTTTCTATTTTAACCCCTGAGCCAAGCGTCTCGATCGCCCCACCACAGCAAAGTCCAACATCAAGCGAGCAAAAAAGAGAAATGTTCGAAGGGGTTTAAAGCTCGTGTCCCTTTCAGATGCGTTATGCATGTATGTTCCGACCGACTCTTAAATATTAAGACGCAGGTTCAATCCATAATTTGATATTTCAGTATGGATGAATATGCTTTCGTATACTAATAATTTCAATGTAAGAATATAACAAATGGGGCAAATGATTTTCGATAATCATCGCTGTTTTTTTTTTGCAACGAAATTTTTTCCTGCATTTTTACTGTACCTCCAAGAATGAATTTAATTATCAGGCGAGCAGAGTTGGCGGCACCATGAATAACCACACTTGGCGCGAAGTGTGAATTTTATGATGAGGCGTGCAGCGACGGCAGCATCATGAATTATACGCATGAATAAAAGCGAATGAGAACTTAGCGTAAACGGTGGGTCCTACTTCCTGAGCGATTTTCCATGAAAAGCACGCTGATGTTCAACTGGGAAGTTTTTAGTTATATATATTTGTATATGTAGATCTGATTGCCCGTCCCTTAACCTAAAGCCCTAGAACGCATAGAGCTTTTTATTTAATTAGTTTAGTAAGAAAAAAAGGGGGGGGGGGGTGTTACAAAACTCTAGCCTTGTACGGTAGCGTAGCAATCCTTCACACGGGCAATTCACACAAACAAAAACTTCTCATGGTTCCTTCGTTGCTCCTGGGCTTGGTCATTCTCGCGACCGTGGAGCTAAAACCACGTGCCACTTCTCCACACTTCGTCGGCACAAGGATATACATATGCACAGCTGATGGTCCGGTCGCCGTCGAGTTTCCCACACTGGAACATCATGTTCCCGTTCGTTTCGTCAGCTTCTGCAGCCTCCTCTCTTGTCGTGTCCGAATCTACGTAAAAAGCTCTTGAAGCGCTCCTGCTCACTGAGAACTTTTCCCAGGTTAAAGTTCCCCTCTTCATGTTTTTCTTTTACCCAGCCACCAAGCTTTGGAATAATCCGGTGCCCATAGGTCAAAATGAAAACATTGCATGTCCATAAAATTTTCCAAGAGTCTCAAAAATGTCACAGCGTCTTATTGGCGCCCCATATTTATGGCAAATCCAACGGGACTTTCTGAAAATAAAACTGAAGTTGTAAATACATTTTCATATACAAAGCACAGCTGAGCGCATCGCGAAAATTTTACAACTAAAGCGAACTTCAACGAGATTAGTTTATCAATTACCTTTTTAAATAAATATTAATAGTTGACTTGTTACTTGTTTTATACATTTTGTGTGGGTTTTATTTATGTTTATGTAACCGAACTGCTTTTTATCTGGGCATTGCCGAGCTAGCACAGGTTGTGCTAGCACATTGGAACTGCCTGTTGGCTGAAGTCATAATTTGTGAAGTCTAGTGTAGTTAGTTTAGGGCGAAGGCGAGAGCGCAATAAAGCTCTCTCGCGCTCTTCGCGAATTCGCCTCGCCTTCGCCAACCTTAGATAAGCTAGGCTAAGCATATGAAATATATGATTCGCATGTTAAACTCTAAGCGACGCACCACTCTTTTTTTCGTTCGCCAAAAGTCTGCCACCACAACTCGGTTTTTTTCGTAATTTAATTTTTTAATGTTTCTAATAAACTAATTAGAAAATTCATGGCTCCCCCGGGTGGACTAGACAAAAAAAGGCAACATAATTAAATAATTAATAATAGTGACAGTGACACAATATATATATATATACATATAAATACATAAATATATATAAAATATATAAAAAATACATAAGTGCAGTTAAACAAGCCAGTGACTAGTGCTTAAGGAATTTGTTGCCCGCGACGCGCTGTGTTAAATAAATTTAATTAAATAATTTAAATAAATTAACCGTGTCGGTCGGGAAAAAACTCTAACTCCAACTACTGCCATCAACGAGGGAGCAAGAAGCACAGGAAAGTGGCAGCTGGAATATTGATATATATATCACCAAGCAGAGGTATTTGTGCAAAAAATTGAAAGCTGGAGTAAAATAAATTTATTGTTTATTGTCTTGTGCTGAAATATTGCACCTCGCTTTCAATTCTTGGCACATACGTATTTATAGTAGAGCAACATTGCATGTATTTATTCAATTATATATATTGTCTAAAACTAACATAAACATACATACATAAAATTGAACCGCACTTGGACGCAACATTTATTTATGTTATTTATTGTATTATATTGCAATCACTGTCGCCCCCCCTCTCTCGTTAGAACTCGCTTTAATAGTTGGGAAGTTAATCCAAGCTTGCGCACCAATACATAAAGCCTTATATACTAGCAGCTGCAGCGGTGAACTTTTTCGTTTTCGCTTTCGCTTGTGTGCCGGTGTAGTCGTTGTTGTTGTTGGGCTCTTTTAGTTTGGCGCGCTTAGATTAGCGGACCGCCAAGTGACACGCTACCCTGTTTTTGTCGGGTATACTCTTTTTCGGTCATTTGATTGGCAGACCGCCAAGTGACGCGCTACCCTGTTTTTGTCGGGTATACTCTTTTTCGGTCATTCGATTGGCGGACCGCCAAGTGACGCGCTACCCTGTTTTTGTCGGGTATACACTTTTCGGCGTCACTTGCACCCACTATTATTATTGATACTGCGTGACTCGTTTCATTTAAATAACTTATTGTTATCAGAAAAAATATTTAATAGACTTTTCGAATAAAAAAAAATATTAATTTGTAATATTAATTAATTAATTATTAATATTAAATATTTATTAAATTAAAAAGAATATTTATATATATATATTTTTTTATTATTTTTAATTGAGTGTTTATTTGATATTATTTTGATATTATTTATATTAGATTCGAAAGCTATAATTAATACTTTCGTCGTCTTTCTGCTTTAAACAATAATTTTCGGCCATTATTATCATTCTTGGGAAAATTAATTTAATTAATTCGTAAAAATGAGCCATGATACAAAGAATAAATCTCTTCTGGAGGAGTTAAAAAGCAAGCTCCAAAATAGGATCAGAACCATTCGCCGATTAAACGAGCGGCTGGAACAGGGTTCGATTCCGATTTTAGAAGAAGAATTGAAATGTCGACTCGAAAACTTAAATGCTTCAATTAACAAGGCAAATCAAATCCAAGAACAGATAGAAGAAATAGATAGTGGCGATGAATATGGCGACGAGTTGGAAGCACTTAGCATCGTGACCAAGGCAAAATTGATGTCTTTATTATCTGCCATTAAGACAGCAGCCAGCAGCGAAACTCCTGGATCAGCTGCGGCAGCACCAACTCGTGCGCGACTTCCGAATTTGGCATTGCCAAAATTTAGTGGAAATTATTCGGAATTTAAAAATTTTATTAGCCTCTTCGAAACTTTGGTTCATAAAGATGCCAGCATTCCAGTTATCGAAAAATTTAACCATTTGATTTCATGTCTCTCTGGTGAAGCTTTAGGAACAATTAAAGCTTACCAAGTCACCGAGAGTAATTACGAAAAGGCGATGGCCAGTTTAAAAAAGGTTTACGATACCGAATGCCTCATCTTTATGAATAATATTTCAACATTGTTTAGGCTTCCAAAAATATCGCATCAATCCGCATCCTCCTTGAGAAATCTTATCGACACTGTTTCGTCGATTTACGGTTCTCTGCTATCGATAGGAGATGATACAAAAATTTCAAACGCAATGTTGATATATTTGGTATTAAATAGAGTCGACCCAGTGACCAAACACAAATGGGAGGAACAGCTCGATTATGAAACA